GGAGCTCAGACTATAGACAGATTTCTATCTAATTTATCTGCAACCTAAACCTACTAGAGTGGTTAAAACTCACCTAGTTTAATAATGTTTTGTATTTTATTTATAATATTGATCTTATTTATTAATATCTCTAACTAATTACTCATCTTGTTTTATATTAAAAAAAAGATTAAGTAAAATAATATAACATAAAGATAGATATTAAGATTTTAGTAAACTTTATAAAAGTAAAAATAATATGATATAGTAATTTAACAAATAATACTTATAACTATAATTATTAGTTTGACTATAGCATTTTATATACAATTAGGTCAAATATATATAAAATACAAAAGGTTCTAATAAGTTTTTTGTAAAAATAAAAAAATCCTAAAGGTAATAATATACATCAGATACTTTGGATAGATATAATCTTGAAGATATTACTATAAAACAAGATAAATTATATGCAAAAGATTTAAATAAGTAAGACCTATAGTTAACTTGCAAGTATGATATCTAGTATAAAACCTATATAGTAATATATAGGTAAATTATTTAAATTAAGTATCAAAAGTATATATGTAACTAGCTGTAACTTTCTATGTATGAATGCCTCTAGAAACATCCATATCTAATAAACTTAAATAAAAACAACATTTCCAAAAGCAAAAACTTTAACTTAAAAAAAAAACAATTATTCTTAGTTTTAAGTTACCTATATTTTGCATTTGTTTTGTTAAAATACACAAGCTGCAAACCAGATACATCAAATATCTTTTAGTTTATATATAAATTCAAGGCAAATTTGTTTAAAATTTTTTAATAAATTTATATTAAAAAACTTTAATAATCATCTGTAGTAATTAGGTTTTTGCTAAAATTTAAAGTTAAAATACAGTTTAAGATCAAGATAAGGATTAAATATAATAGTTTGAATTTTAAGATTTTGGAAGTTTTGAACATTTTTACTTAGTATACCTGACTTCTGTTTTATAGTTTTATTTCTGAAATATAACAATACAGATGATGATCACCTGTGGTGCAAATTAGCAATTTTCTATCAATTTTGTTCTTTTTTTACAAAAAAAAATTTCTCTTTATGCTTACTAATTAGCCCAATATTTTAAGCAATTAGTTATATATTTTATTAAAAATCCAGTTTTGAATATTAGCTTAGCAAAAATATAAATATATATGCAGCATATACGTATCATAAACAAATAAAAAGAATTAATTATTTATTTGCATACTCTAGCTAGAAAAAATGACAAATAAAAACAAAAAGCAAAATTAAAATAACAACTAAGAAAGTTCTAAAATATAACAAATAGTTAAAGCTAAAATTAGATTCTTTTAAACAATAATCGTAATAAAAAATTTTATAATTTTATAAAATTTTTAAGTTTATATTTTGAAGTTTATATTAAAAATTATAAATAAAACATGATTATTCTTGTTACTAATCATTCTATAAAATAATTGATAAGCATCTAAACACAAAACTATAGCTTACGTAAGATCAACTAGACTGCTTATTAGTTCTGGTCCAATTGTCTTCTAATTGCGATGTTTATGTTTATTCGCATTACATGTACTGGCTATCTTGTTAACGAAAAAATAAAGTAGATTTAATTGTTTTATACGTAAATGGAGTTATTTAGAAACAGATTAATGGATCGAACTTAAGATTATGGTCAGCTAGGCACCTGAGGCAAACATTAGAAATGAAAATAACGTTTACTGTTATTAACTAGTGTGGCTTACGGGCTTGGTTTTCAGAAATCCTAATCTAATTTACTAACAAAAAAAATGTTTTTTAAATCGAAACAAAGAAATAACATGCGCCTCAGAGTCCACATTTCAATATTTTTACTAATAAATATGGTCATTTTATGTTTCATAAATCACCATAGCCACAGAACCTAGCCATTTGTATCCAAACTAAACATTTAATGAATAATTCAATAAAATGGTGAAATAAGTAGTCATCATACTAACTTTTACATCAGACCATTGGGATACTAATGAACCCGTTCACTAATTTGAGAGTATAATACTGTAAATGTTACTCCAAATTATAAATTTTAGTCGTTAACAATTTATCGTTATACATATCGATATTATACAGCTCAATATTCAAAATACAAGCCCCATATGCACATTTCTGGAGGAATTTGGAGGCTAAATCTCAATATTTGTAAAGCATTTCTATTATAGAAGCCAACAAGAAAAACCGTGATCAAAAAAAATCAATTGTCATACATATATATATAATAGACAGATTTAGAAGTGGACCATTTGGTTTCGCTGCTATGATACGAAAAAAAACAAAATGATCATTAACTTGCGTTAAAAAAAAATTTTTTTTAAACATTATAAAATTAAAAAGATATTTAATATTTAGTAATTTATTTTACACATAAATGATAAATGCTAAATGCTAAATGCTAAAAGATTGTACCCGTTCCATATTTAATCGAAAATCAAAATAAAAAAGTTTCACCAGGACTAAATTTGAATAATATAAAAAAAATGGAATCATCTAGGATTGGATTCCTTAGCGGTGTTTCGTTACTGGTTTCTTCTATGACTGGTCCAGGGTTGGTGACAAGTAAGTATACATATAATATATATCATGTGAGTATGTACATTTTTGATCTTAAACTGATATGATGTAAAAAAAATTGATATGTAGTGCCCTTATTATTTCAAACTGCAGGGTGGATAACGTAAGTTCAGCACAAAATAAATTTATAATAATATAAAAATTAAAGATTGATTTTTTTCTTTTTATTTTCGAAGATCGCTGATAATCGTTTTTCTGATTGTATTTTTATCATCATCCGCTGCTTTACTATTATGTGAAGCAATTGAGTCTTTACCCGGTAACGAAGGATTCACGGTTTGTATTCTAATAATTATTATTATTAATTATTATTATTGATCTGTATACAGTATAAAAAAGTTTCATATTTTTTCTTTCCCTCTCCATTCCATTTCCATTTTATAATGTCAGAGAAGAATAGAATATTCTAATCTTTGTGCAGCCCTGATCACAAATAAATATGAACGTGCATTTATCCAGATATTAATTTATTTGGCAATTGAATCATTCATAATTGCTTCAATTATTATTTCAGCGCAGTCGTTGGATGGTTTATTTGTTACTTTGTTTGGTATGACTTGTGGAATTAGTATATCTCCAGATTCTGGATGGTTATGTATTAAAGAGTTAGGTGATGAGAGTAGCCCATTTGGAAATCGATGGATGTTGCTTACCGCCGGGTTTATGGTAATATCTTTGAAATAACTAATTGTGAGTATATGCGCTAACATAAATTGTTTGTTAGACAACATTGCTGTTCGTTATTCCGATGACGTGGATGAGGCTATCAAATAATGCTAAAATACAAGTTGGTATGTTATTAAAGATAATTGACCTGAAAAAAAAAATCTTGTCATTTACGCGTAAATTTTAAATAATTTATTTTCAGTATCATTTTTTACAATATTATTCGTTATTTTTACATGGATTGTGGCACTTATATTTCATGGATTGGATTCAAAGCGAATTCCCCTTATTGGAGAAAATCAAAGTCAAGCAGTGGGAATCGTAATGTTTAACTATGCGTTTATAACTACAGTTCCAAGTCTCACTAATGAATTGGTTTGAAAAATTCTTTAAATATTTTGTTCATGCGTGTAACGGGTTTATTAACTTTATACATCACTAACTATATAGGAAAAAGACGGTTCAATTCGAAAAATTGTTTACACCTCTATATTGATTACTACACTTGGTTATATTTTCTTGGGAATTCTTGGAGCGATGTCTTTTGATTTGGAATTATCAACAAACATAATAACCTCTATTCGACAATCAGAGTTGCGTAATAATTTTTTTGGATATTCAACTTACTTATTTCCAATGATATTACTTGTTAGCGTACCAATAAATGTTATTGTTATACGTTATAATCTGGTTCGAACTGGATTTTGTGGAGGCAGTACATCTATTTTATTAAATCAAAAAATTACTTCTTCACCATTAATTAAAATAATTAATTAATGGTTTCCTTATATATATACATCTATATATTATTATATACATTTTATAGAGAATCTTGCAATTTTCTCTACGATATTGCCGTGGATTCTAGTTATCCCTTTTCAGTCTGGTTATTGGTTAAATTTATTTACCAATTGGACAAGTTTGATTTTTATAAGTTCCGCAAATTTTATAATCCCGTTCTGGTTGTATATCCTTAGTAGAAGAAAAGCCAAAGTAATTCCACCGGTGACTATCACTAAACATGAAGAAGGTATTTATTAAATATTATTAAAATTTTCTTTCGATATCGGTTCTATTTCTAATAAAATTTCTTTAACAATGTATATAAATGGTACTGAAGAATTGCCTCCCGTCAAACCTTTTAGTGCTTTTTTCCCTAAAGGTACCATGGAGTGGTTTAGTCTTTGGATTGCTTGGATCTCTTTAATCATTGGTTGTTTACTTGTAATATTGGTTATTGTATATGATTTTGTTGGATTGGCAATGGGAAAGAATTATTTTAATTATGCATAAAGAAAACCTTGGTAAAACTAATTCAATTGGCTTAAGGAATAATTTATTATTGATATAGATATTTCCACACCTTATATGTGACATAAATAATGTACGTGATGTGACCCGAAGGTGTGAAAATACCGGTTCCCTTTATGTATTTATAAATTTATATTTCAAAAAAAAATTAAAAATTCTGGATTTTTACGTATAGCATAAAAAAGTGATGGATTGTTGGGATTTTTTATAAAAGTTTGGGTGATAAAAATTAACAATTTTATTTATTTCATTACATTTTAATACATGTTAATGAAAAATTATTACATTGAATAACGAACGGATGGATAGAAGAATGAATGAATGAATGTATGAAATGGATAGGGATGATATTACATGAAAATTGATTAATTCAATTATAAATCCGATAAATACTTTCCCATCGTAAAATACAGTATTTCTCCCTTTAGTCAATATCATTTTGACCTGGACTAACACTAGATCGTGGCTTGTCATTACCATTTCGACCTGGACTTACGCTAGATCGTGGCTTGTCATTGCCATTTTGACCTGGACTTACGCTGGATCGTGGCTTGTCATTACCATCATTATCATTATTATTGGTATTATTATTATTATTATCGTTATTATTATTATTATCGTCATCAATATCGATATTATCATCGTAATTAACATCGATATTCGCATCGTAATTAATATCGATATTATCATCATAATTCATACTATTATCGTTATTAATATCATCATCGATATTATTCTTATTCATTGCCTTTGTCATTGATCTAGACATCATTAATCTTGTGTTATTCATTTTTGTAGCGGCGGCAGCGGAGGTACTAGGTTTGACATCCTCATTTTGAGGCTCCTCTTTCTTTCGTCTTGGTTTTTTGACCAATCCAATTCTACTAGCAGGACCTTTTGAATACTTAAATTTTCCATTTGCAACGCCTTTCCTGATAGCCGTATTAATTCTGGTATTAGTACCAGGAATATTGGAAAGTTCTTCATATTTTTCAAAAAGATATTTCTTTATAGCTTGACGACTACTTCCTCTACGTTCATTTAACATAAGAATTGCGTCTTCGATCATTTTTTCATAAGTGGGTCGATGTTTAGACATGGCGTTTACGTTTAAAATGGTTGGATAATCCTATGATTCTTGGAAAAGATTTAAACGGATTTAATTGAATTTTTGATGGTCGATGTAAAAGAAAGAATGTCGGTCGGTCGGCGAGAAAAGTCAAGAAGAAACATGAATCATATATATTGGATTTCTCATTGTATGTGAGCACCTCCTAATACTTTGTTGAAGCTATTGTATTTGAAATTCATTAAAAAAAAACATGCGTTTATTTTTGATAAACAATGGGAATTTTTCAAGAAAATAATGGCTTTTAAAGTATTTAAGGAAATCAAAAAAGGAGGTGTCGTTATTAAAACATGCAGATTATATCTTCACTTATTAAAAAATTTTTAATGATTTTTAATAATTATTAAATTATTAAAATAATTTAATAATTTAATTCCCCATCATTAGGCACGTTTACATATTCAAGGTGGTACATTCTCAACATTTGTATGTATCTATATGTTTGCAGGACAAAAATACTAAACCTTCATCTGATTTGTGGTTTCACGATGTCACTAAATTACAATATTTTTGATGTTAAAAATAACTGGATACAAGTACGGTCAACTATAGATATTTCTAGGTGGTCCGGTACATAATAATTTTTGTTGTATCTATATGATATATATGATAGAATATACAAGAAACATTCGAATTTTACTATAAATTTTACTATACATACGAGTGTGTGAGAGTGAAAACCTGTATAATGATTTACTATGATAAGTTTCAGGTTTTCACTCTTTCACACTCATACGTATCGGTATAGTAAAATGTTTTTTATAGTAAATCTCATTTTTAACTGATATTTAAAAGGTTAAAATATATTAATCTAATTTTATGAAAAAAGTTTATGGTAGGCGTATTTTATCAACTTACCTATTAAAATAATTTAATATTACCATTTTGAGGATTTATATATCAGATATTAAGTAAACCAAAACTATACATGGTATAGGCTTATATATACAGTCGACTCTGGGTATACCGAACTGCATGCTCTGGGGGGTTTTGTTCGGTATAGAGTGGGTTAGTTATATAGATTATTTTTTCTATACCGAACAATTCGGTATACAGAGCTAACTAATGATAGGACCACAACGGGTCAGTAAATTCTCGAAAAATTTTACTCCGGTCCGGAATCTTTCGGAACGGGTATTATATACAAACAAATAGTTCGTTATATCGAAATATGTGCACATAGTCCTGGGCTGGTAAAGAAGAGTTCGGTATAACCAGCCTAAATTCTTATAAAAATAATCGGCTCTGTCAGATCTGGTTCGTTATAACCAGGGTTTGGTATAAGCAGGTTCGGTATATCCAGAGCCAACTGTATCATAAACATTTGTGTAAGATTAATATTGATCTTCGTTATTATAATCAATATAATTAGATAATCAATATAATTAGCAAACAAGTTTAATATTAGTAAATTATAGGCAGGTGAAAGAATTTCTAAATCAATTTTAATGATTTTATTATTATTAATATCAAAAAAGTATAAGAACAACTTTGCTTAAGATTATTAAAAGTTTATTTAATGATAATATTTGGTTTAAAGTAATAATAAAGTTATAAGTTTAAAGAATATTTATTTTAATATGCAGAAGGAAGTAATTTAAAAATTAGATAGTTTGGCAACAGGTTATGTTTAGATTATGCAAAATAATAAAACAAAATATATGTTCAAAAATATTATATCAGTTATTAGTAAGATTTTGATAAAAAAAATTTTAAATATAAGTTGAGTGAATTAAAATATATTCTTTTTTTAAAAAAGTATTTAGGTTATATATAATGGTTTAATTTGGTTTAGATTGTAAACAATGTTGTTACAGCTTTAATTTTTGTATGTAATTTTTATTTTGTATTTTACAAACTTAGTATATCTTTTTTTTTTTTTGGTATTAAGGTAAGGCCTTGCTTATATTTTTATTAGTAATTTTAGTTGTACATATTAATATACT